CTCGGCCCACGGCGCCTTCTCCTCGTCGCTCAGCGCCCGCCACCGCTCCCCGACAATCTTGGCCAGCTCCTTCGCGTCCAAGTACAGGCGGGCGCCGCCGCCGCCGCCGCCGCCGCCGTCGACATCGCCACCGTCGGCGCCTCCGTTGCCTGCGACACCGGCCGCAGCACGCCCCGCCGCGCGGCTCTCGGCATGCGCTTGCTGCACCGCGGACTTGGTCGCGTGGAAGAAGAGGAAGTACGAGGTCTGCGGCGGCTTTGGCGCCCCCTGCAGACGGACGGCGCCGCGTCACCGTTCCGAGGGGAATGCTCCGAGGCGGTTCCGAGGCGGTTCCGAGGCGGTTCAGAGAAGGCCCCGAGAGAGGCGTCTCTGTGATAGTCTCGGCAGGGGCGACGCGCGCGTCCCGCCGCGCCTCTTGCCGCTCTTGCCGCTTCCGCTTCTTCTGGCCGTTTTGCTTCTCGCGCGTCGCGTCGCTTCGCGGCCTCGGCTCGAACTTGGGCTCGCGCGGCCTCGCCGCCTCCCGCGCGTACGCCACGGCCGCCTGCAGGAGAGGGTCCGAGACGGGTCGGGGGGGGGGGAGGCTCAGGGGAGGGCTCGCCGCGCGTGCGCCACGGGAGGCCTCGACGGCGGTGGCGAAGACGCCGAGGTGTATGTGGCCCGACTTGCTCACGCCTGCGGGAGACGGCATGGGCGTGTCGTGGGCGTGTCGTGGGCGTGTCGTGGACGTGTCGTGGACGTGTCGCGAGAGGAGTGCTGAGAGGCGGGCGAGGTGGCGCCCTCGCCCTCGTTCTGTGGAGCTGCAGCTGCTCTCGGCTGCCTCTCGGCTGCCTCTCGGCTCTCTCTCGGCTCTCTCTCGGCTTTCTCTCGGAGATCTCGCTCCGTGGAGCTGCAGCTGCGCGCTGAAGGGGCGAGAAGGCAGCGGCCTGCGGGGAGACGACAGCGGACATGTCGCGGGCGCGTCCCGCTGGACAGCCGCGCGAGAGGGGCGGCAGAGGCGAGGGCGGTGGCGGGGTGGGCGGTGGCGGGGTGGGCGGAGCTGGTGAGGGCGGTGGAGGGGGCGAGGGCGGTGGAGGGGGCGAGGGCGGTGGAGGGGGCGAGGGCGGTGGAGGGGGCGAGGGCGGTGGAGGGGGCGAGGGCGGTGGAGGGGGCGAGGGCGGTGGAGGGGGCGAGGGCGGTGGAGGGGGCGAGGGCGGTGGAGGGGGCGAGGGCGGTGGAGGGGGCGAGGGAGGCGGAGGAGTGGGCGGTGGTGGGCGAGGGAGGCGGAGGAGTGGGCGGTGGTGGGCGAGGAGGCGGAGGAGTGGGCGGTGGTGGGCGAGGAGGCGGGCAGGCCTGCCGCGGGCGACGCTCAGGCGCACGCCGCGGTAGCCCGTCTCCGACTTTGAGCTCAGGTGCAGCCTCACCCCCTCCGCCTCCTCGAGCAGCGGCTCGGAGAGGAGGGCCCGTCGCGCCTAGCACGGGGGGGGGGGATGCGTGGGGGGAGGGAGGGGGGGGGGGGCGAGAAGGCGGCGGCGAGGGCGGAGGCGGCGAGGGCGGAGGCGGCGAGGGCGGAGGAGGCGATGACACCTCCTCGTGCGCCGCCGCCGCCGCGTCAGCCTCCGCCTTGGTAGGCGAAGGAGCTGCCACTCGAGACACCTTGGGCTCGAGGAGGGCGCGCGCCTGTTCACCGCCGGAGGCGGTGAAAGAGGCGCCGTTCACGGCCACGCTGACGGCTCGTGGAGAGAGGGGCGCGCGTACGCCACCGCCGCCTCCGCCTTGGTGGCAAAGAGTCCGAGGTGGCGGAAGGTCTTGCCGCGCTCGCCTTCGCTCACCTGCGCCTTGAAGCCGCCGCGGCACGCGACAGCGGTCACGCCCTTGTAGCCCGTCTGCGAGCGCGCGCTGAGGTGCAGCCTGACGCCGCCCGCCTAATCTCGGGTGATCTCGGGTGATCTCGGGTCATCTGCCGTCGAGGTGCAGCCTGGCGCCGCCCGCCTCGGCCACCGCCGGCGCCGCGAGCTCGGCCAGAAAGCGAGAGTCGTCCGCCCCGAGGGAGGCGTCTCCATGCCCCGTACCGCCAGAGGGGTGCCACCCAAGAAGCCCGTCAAGGCCACGGCTGCCCGCGGCGTGGCAGGAGTGGTCGCCGCCAGGGGCGCCTCCGTCGGCGATTGCGTCCGGCGAGCCCGCATCGCCCCCACTACCCCCACCCACCGTCTTCTCGTCATCGTCCGACTCGCCACCGTGGGACGCGCCCACGCCCTGCGCCGCCGCTCGCACCGGCCGAGCGCCCTGAAGGGCGACGCTCGGGCGGGACGAGAGCGGCGTGTCGTCCTCCTCGCTGTCCACATCCTCCTCGCTGTCGGCCTCGCCGCCGCCACCATTGCCGCCGCCGCAACCCGCGCCGCCCGACACCTCGCCCGCCGCAGCGGGTGAGCCGTCGGAGGCCACGCCGACGAACGCCGGACGGAGCCGGGCGCCGGCCTGCTGCGTCTGCTGCGGAGAGCGTGCCCACCGCTCGACGTGCCGGAGCCACGTGTTCAGCTTCGAGGTGAGCGCCGGCTTGTCCGCTGCGGCGAGCGCGCCGCTGCCGGGAGGCATCCCCTCAAGCTGCCGCGCCGACTGGCGGCAGAGGTGCAGGTTGACGTTGCCTTTGGCGTCGCGGTACGGCAGCAGCCGCGCCTCGCGGAGGAGGAAGCGGGAGGCGGCGAGCCCGGGTAGGTCGATTTCAGCGAGTGGGGTGGCGCTGTAGGACGAGGAGGACATACCTGGAGGCCCCCAAAAACCGCGAAGGCGGGAGCATTGAAAAAAGAATTTTATAACGCCGCACTCTCGCACAGCACAAATCCGCTCCCTCGCACAACAGTGGGCACGGGACTGGCGCGCACTGGCACTAACACAGGTACAAAAAGAAAAATGGCTGGACCGCTTCCTTGATATTAAAGCCCCTTTGTTATCTCTGCCGTTCTCCCATTCCTCCCTGGCGCCGGCCGGTTTTTAGTTTCTTTCTTATAAGTGCTTCAAAAAGGCAGCTCCCACGAGAAGAGACAAGAGTTGACGACAAGCTGCCGTCCTGCGCGAGAGCCCAAATCACTTTGTGTTCTGTGACTGTGTCTGTAACGGACGAGCTGTGATTTCTTGTTGCTTTCCGAAATCTCTCTTTGACTGATCTCTCTCTTCTGTTTGTTGAGTCTCTGATGGGGTCCCGTACCACGCGGAATCGACCCTATATCTCAAGTGCTCAAGTGCTCATAAGTCTCGGTGCGGACATCTCTGATGACACTCCGTTTTCGGGGGCGTTGCATTTGCCAAACCTTTCGAGCACATAAAAGGGCACACGGCGCACACGGCGCACACACACCTCTGGGGTCCCTAGCGCGGCGGTAGCAGCCGCATCAGCGCGGCGACGTGGGCGTCCTCCTCCCCCACCTCGCGCAGCCACGCCGCGAGCGACTCGAGGTAGTCTCGGTTCGCGCCGCTCGGGCCGTGCGCGCTCGCGATGGTTAGCGCGGCGGCAGCCGGGTCGGCCAGCATCACCGGGGAGAAGAGCGGGTTGTCGCACGTCGCAGAGTACACGAGCGCGCGCACCGGCGGCGCGCCCGGCCGTGCAGGCTGCACCTGCACCACCTCGCGCGTGTAGCCGCCCTTCTCCCGAAAGTCGAGGTTGGCCAGCACGCGCGGCACGTCGTCCGCCCCGACGCGGTAGCACAGGCCGCACGTCGTCGAAGGCGGCTCGCCCGGCTCGCGCAGGCCCTTGGCCTCCAGCTGGGCGTCGGAGATCATCGTCGCAACGAGGCCGGGGCTGGAGGGCGTGCCGCGGTGGTCGCACGAGCGCTGCGCAAAGTAGCGGCCCCAGCCGGAGCAACGGCCGACGAGCGTCTCCTCATGCGGGAAGTCGGGCCGCCAGCAGAGCGAGCCGTAGCCAAAGATCCAGAGCGGGTCCGGCACCTCGACCCCGCCGGCTGCACGGTTCCCGAGCCACACGCCGGCAGCCGCGTCCCACCGAGGCGCCGCAGCAGGCGCCTCGGCGGACGGCTGCACGAAGCTATAAAGCCAGGCGGCGAAGCGAGCGAGCATCGTAGCCCAGGCACGATCGATGCTTCTTGCCGCGCCGCGTGAGAACCAGCGTACGACCAGCAGTTCGCACAAAGGGCACGCGAGGTACGACCGTGCCCGACAGTGCTATTAAAATGACTCGGCTCCAAATGGCTGCAGTCGAGTCACACGCCGTGGAACATCCTCGGCTCTTCACACACCGACTTGCACATATACCTTTCATCCACAGCTCCGTCCGTGAAAACACCGAAACAACACCAAGACGACGCTCGTCCACGCACGTGGACACCAGCGTCCTGCTTTGCCCCTCCCGCCCACCCTACAGAAGGGGAGACCCCGAGGGAGGCGAAGGTAGGTCGCGCCAATGCTTTAAAAAGGCACTTTTTCGGTGCTGCAGCCCCCCCAAAACAGGCGCGCGCAGCGCGCCCAGGGGCGCCGCAGGCGCCCCAAGCGGCGCGGAGCGCCGCCGCAGGCGGAGGACAGCAGGTGCGCGAAATTAAACGCCATTTTCGGTTCCGCGGTTTTGCCACTATCTGCCACTAACATTGAAATCCGGTACAAAACGACTTAGCCGAAACAGCTGACAGACAGACAGAGAGCACACACGTTCGAGACGGGGGTGCGCCGACCGCCGTCGCGGACCCAGTAGAGCTAGATGGTCCCACAGGATGCGCCCTTAGCCTCTGAGCTCGTCCTAGACATTTTAGGGAAGCGTGGGCAGACCAGAACGCGGCCACGGCGACGCTCCGAGGCTGTCAGCAGCGCTGGCGGCGATCGTGGCGACAGCGCCTCGCCGCTGCAGCGGCACAGAATCGAGGAAGTGGCGTTGGTGGCAGTATCAATGAGATATGAAGGCGGCCGTAATGCTGGTGGCGCCTTCGAGGGCGGCGGAGAGGGCGGTAGCAGCGACGGCGATCGAGTCATGTGGCAGGGGTGCGAAGATGCAGCAGGGAGGCTTGAGTTAGCGACGCGGGGCGGTGGCGTGCCAGCAGGTAAGCGGCGGCGGCGGAGAGCAGGTGCGCGAAGTAAAGGCCAATCTTGAGATATCCATTTTGCACCACCTTTGGATTTCTGGTACAAATTGAATTGTGGATCTTGAAGGCACGCGCAAGAGCGCACACCAGGCAGTTGACTGAACCTCGGATCTCGCTGCGTCGATTATCATACGAGCGGTGACAGTAGCGGTGGCAGCGGCGGCAGCGTCGACAGGAGCACCTACTGCAGCGTGAAATGTGAGCTGGGAGGCGGGAGGCAGATGCAATAGGAGCGGGAGAGTGAGATCGTCAGCCAGCACGGCAGACCTTTACGGCGCGGCTGCGGGCGCGTTTGCAGTGACATGCGATCCATGTGGTAGCAAAGGCACGGCGGGAGTAGCGCGTATGCAGGCTGTGAGCGAGGGTGGCGCGTCGCGAGTGGCCTTCAATGGCTTGGCTAGCCCGTCACTCCAGTCAGTTGGTGTCAGCGACGAATCGGCCATCCTGCCCCCATTAGGGTCGGTGCTAAAAAATCCCTGTATGGTGGCGGCGTGCCGTCCTCCCATGGGTTGTCTTCTTTTTTACCTCCCATCTTCGAACCGCGGTGAGAACGAACCTGCCAAGGTGCACGTTGTGGACTTCCAGACGCTAGTCTTCCAGATGCTTCTAACAACTAGTAAAATTCTGCAAAGGGGTGTGAACGGAGAGAGCAAACTCTGGCAGCTCCCACCGCCGTAAGGTGACGCAAAAAACACGCTGCTGTTACAGGGGCTGGGCGCCACGGGTGAGCTTTCGAGGGGCGCTCTTCGCGCGCCTGCGCTCCGTACGCACCAGCTGCCGAGGGGCGCGCACTTCCCGCCTCGAGTACCGCTCGACGAGTCGAGTTATTGGCCGGCGACCGCTGCTGCGACTGGGCGACGCGCCTGTCACGGGGGCTGGGCGCCGAGGGCGAGCTTGCCTGGGGCGCTCTCCGCGCGCACGGGTTCGCCCGCGGCAGCTGCTGAGGGGCGCGCCATGCTCCTCTCGATGATCGACCGACGGATCGATGTCTTGGCCGGCGACCGCTGCTGCCGTGGGATGGCGCGCCTGCAGGAGGGGCTGGGTGTCCAGGACAAGCTCGCGGGGCGGGCTCTCCGCGACGATCAGCTTCGTGCGTGTTGGGCCCCGACGCGTGCGCTCTTCCAGAGCCGCGCGGCCGTCAGCCGCTGCCGGGGGCGCGAGTGCGCGTTTGAGCAGACTGCAGAGGGCTCCGCCGCCTGCTGTCTTCATGTCCGGGCGCCGACCGTCGCCTCTGATGTTTGGGTCGCGTGCGGGTGGCCAGCGACGCCGCTGCTCGCGCGTGTCGGCACGATGCGGCTCCGTTGGCCTGACATGCGCCCCGGAAAATGCGACACCGCCAAACGCCGCACCGGGGGCGGCCCCCCTCGGCCTCGCCCCTCGCCCTCTCCGACGGTGTGCGTTGTGGCTCTGCACTGAAGAGCTGATTATGTGCGCGACAGTACGAGAAAAATCACCGCCCAAACAGCGCGCGTAGTACTATATTGCAACATGCCCGCCCGTAGTCCGCCTCCCGGCGTGCATTGTCTCCACAGTACTACTGCGGAATCAGTACGCGCGCGCGTGCGCGCAGTAGCCAGTAGTCAGCCGGGGCGCTGGGGGTTGAAGAGACGTGGGGCGCGCTCGAGGTCGACAAGCCTCCCCCTCCCCTTGCCCGCGTCTGGCCAGCGCGCCGCGACCATGCTGTCAATGTCGAGGCGCAAGCATTGCGCGCAGTCCAAGCTGCGCAGCTCGACAGGAGGTGCGGGGCCGGCGGCGGCGGCGTCGAAGGAGAGCTCGCCGCGGCACTCCTGGCAGACAGCGAGAGTGCCGCGGAGCGCGGCGACGCTGGGCGTCGCGCAGCGCGCCGCCGCCAGGCGCCTCGCCGCGGCGTCGCGCTCGGCGTCCTGGCGCGCCGCCTGCAGCAGCGGAGAGTGCTCCGCCGTGTCTGCCGCGAGGAGGAGGCGCCTCGCCCGCGTGCGCAGCATGACCAGCCGAGGGTACGTGTACCAGTGCTGTGGCCACGACTGTGGCAGCAGCAGGCCCTCGGGCTGGTTCGCAAGGAGCGGGTCCTTGCGCCACAACAAAGGGGGAGGAAGACAACCGTTCTTGTACTGGAGCAGCAGCTTCTGGTTGCGCGGCTCCGAGGGCGCCCGCTCGATGTCATACAGGTAGTCGAGCGCGCTGCCGTTCCAGACGGCGGCGAGCTCCTGCGCTAGATCGCCGCTGAGACCGGGCGGCGCGTGGCCGCTGCGTGGGCCGGTCAGCAGCGAGTGGACCTCGCTGGCGAATTTACGATCGAGACTGCGCTTCGCCGCCTTTTTCTCCGCCTTGCTACTCCCGTCCGCCTCCCCCCCCTCGTCCTCCTCCTCGTCGTCGTCGGCCGGCCCGGCCTGCTCCTCCATGGCCTCGCCGACCGGCCCGGCCTCCACCTCCTCCTCCATGGCCTCGCCGACCGGCCCAGCGCGGAGCACGCGCATAGCAACGAGGCGCTTGCGAGCTTTGAGCGCCTTGTTCCGCTTCTTCGGGTTGAGCTCATCGTTGCCTGGAGGCCGATAGCCGTGCGTGCCGCCGGGCGACTCCGGGCCGAGACGCGCGAGCCACCCCCGCTCGCGCGCGGCATCCTCCTCGCTCCAGCACAGCTCATCGGAGGCCGCTAGGTACCACTGCCCCGCGGGCGCCTGCTGTCGGCGCTTTTCAGCTGCAGTGCGGGGCATCGCGCCGACTCGAAGGTCCAATCTTGCTTGGCGTGCACGAGACGCCGCCCGCTTTTGTGAGCAAAAAAAAACTAACGTTGTTTTTAAGGGTTGCCCGGCCGGGTAAATCCCTGTGTGGTGGCGGCGTGCCGTCCTCCCATCCCTCTCTTGGGTTGTCTGTTTTCTTTCTTTCTTTTTCGGCCGGATTGCATATCTGTTTTCTTTCTTTCTTTTTCGGCCGGGTTGCTGCGCAAAATCTCGCGCTGCGCTAGGCTCAGAGCGAGTTCGCGCTGCGCTAGGCTCAGACGGCGTGCGCGGGCCGCCGGGGGGAGAAGACCCTACCGGCACCGCTCCTTCGCGGTTCGTGCATCGCCTTCGGGAGGTCAAGTGGAAAACGACACACAACGCCGTGACTGTCGACCCGCAGCTGATATGTCAGATAAAAACCCCTTTGCAGCCAAGCCTACTGGCACCTAATTCTTTTCGCTTCCCTCGCTTGAAGCCGCCCGCCACATGCATGGATGCACACACAGCGTCATTTTTGGGGGCGCGCCGCCAGGCGCGTCCCCACTTTTGTATCACACCTACCCCATGTATCGTAGTTTTTGTTAGTATCGAGGTCTCGTGAGTTTTGGTCCTGACCGGCGGCACCGCTCCTCTGGCGGCGAATTGCGAGCCGAGCATATCGAGGTATCCCTGCCCCTGCCCAGCCGCCTCGGACGAGTCGATCTTGCCGTCGTTGTTCTTGTCGAGCTCGTTGGCGAGGTCGCGCTTGAGGTACGACCATGTGGTTAGCCCCTCTCGACGCCGCTGCCCTCGCCGCCGGTGGCGACCGCGCCGCCGACGTCGGTCGCGCTGGACGGCAGCGCGTTCCCAGCCTCGCCGTCGCTCTTCTCGCCGTCGCTCGCTTCGCCCCGCCGCTGGTATTAGGGGCCGCGCTGCCGGCGCCGAGCGTACACACTCACTCTCTACGTCGGTCGCGCTGGACGGCAGCGCGTCCCCAGCCTCGCCGTCGCTCTTCTCGCCGTCGCTCGCCTCGCCGCTGGTATTGCCTCGCCGCTGGTATCTCGACCAGCGTGCCTGTCTCGACGACAGCGTGCCCGGCCAGGGCCTCGCCGTCGCGTCCAAGCGCAGCCGCTCCGATGCGCCTCCTGCAACTCCGCGGGCTGCCGCAGCACGTATAGTGTCGGCCGTACTCCGCCACGCCCGCGAGGACGTCAGCCGCTCACCGTCTCGACCGCCGCGTCGTTCCGTGACCTACCGCTGGAGGGGCTCCTGGCGCGCCGCCCGTCGGTCGACGCCCTCGCCCCTGCGCTCCACCAACGACGCCGTCGCTGTCCTCGCCGACGTGACCGTAGGCGCCCAGCCCCATTGGATGCAGCCGAGATGCAAAATCCCCGTGCCGTACTCCCCCCTGACCCCCCCTGGACGCGTCCACCCTCCGTCCAATCGAGCCGTCCCCTCTTTTACATACATAAATAAACAAAGCCGAGCGTCACCTGCCTCCACGTCTCTTCCTCTAAGGAGAGGAGAGGCTCGCCGCGGGCTGCCGCAGCACGTATAGTGTCGGCCGTACTCCGCCACGCCCGCGAGGACGTCAGCCGCTCACCGTCTCGACCGCCGCGTCGTTCCGTGACCTACCGCTGGAGGGGCTCCTGGCGCGCCGCCCGTCGGTCGACGCCCTCGCCCCTGCGCTCCACCAACGACGCCGTCGCTGTCCTCGCCGACGTGACCGTGAGGCCAGACCAGCATTGGATGCAGCCGAGATGCAAAATCCCAGTGCCGTAAACCCCCCTGACCCCCCCTGGACGCGTCCACCCTCCGTCCAACATTCGCATCCCCTCTTTTACATACATAAAACGCACACCTCTCTACTGTGAGATGGGTAAAAAGGAACAGGCCCCCGCCCTAATACCACTTACGGGAGGGTGGTATTTTCTTTTATACGCCCCCTTTTTTTGCGGCAAAGTCAAACCACCCCACCACCCTAGTAAATAAAAACGGACACCTCTCTCCAAGTGCTCTCTCTGTCAGCCGTCACTGCACTATTATCTATTTCTCAATTGTATTTTTGTGGGCTGAACAACAGATGAGAGATCTCTTGAGAGATGGGTTTGGGCGCCGCTTGACGGCCGGGGCACGCGCCCAGGCGCCCACGCTGGTGCCACGCACACACCCGTTAGCGACACCGATATAGCATGGGGGGGTCCCACTCCCAGTTTCTGTGCGCGCCCCTGGCGTAAATACCTCTCAACGGACACAAACACACAACTGTCACGACTCCTGGCCCAAGGCCAGGAGGCCGTCCTCGTCGTCCCCGAACGAGACACCGCTCGGCAGCCGCCGCACCTGGCCAACGGGCGGCGGGTGGTGCGGCTCGGCGGCGCCTCCAGCGGAGCAGCTCTGCGCGTCGTTGTCCACGTCGATCGCCGCGGCGCGCAGTTGGGCGTCGCGCTCCTGCAGAGCGGACGGGCACAAGCGAGTAAGGCTGGAAGGCAGCCGAGAGGAAGGCGCCGAGAGGTCGCCGAGAGGTCGCCGACAAGTAGCCGAATGGTGCCCGAGATATGACCGAGAGGATGCCGAGAGGTCGCCGAGGTGCAGCAAAGTGGAGAGCTGGCGCGCGCCTCGCGGCTGCGGCTGCCGCCGAACTGGACATCGCCGCCCCCGCCGCCCGCCGCCGCGCCCTCGGCGAGGCCCTGGTCTGCCGGGCCGGCGCCGCTGCGGGCGGGCTCAGAGGGGCGGCTCACCTTTGCCGGCTGCCCCTCCACCTTCACCACCACGCCGTTGAAGTCGCCGCCGCCGCTCTCCCGCTCGCGCCTCCGCTTGACGGAGTCGATCAGCTCACGCGCCTGTGACATGATAGCAGCGGCGTGAGAGTCTGAGTTTCGGGCTAGATCTGAGGTAGATCTCGGCTGGATCTGGCGCGCCCGGCCGAGGGCCTCGGAGGAGCCAGGCGTGAGACCACCACCTCCTCCGCCTCCTGGGCCTTGCGCTGGTCGCGGCATCTGCTGTCCGCGGTGCGGCATCTGCATCGGCCCTCCTCCGCTCTGCATGCCTCCTCCTTGCATGCCCCCGCCCCGCATCTGCTGCATCATCAGCATCTGCTGCTGCATCATCTGCTGCTGCTGCATCATCTGCTGCTGCAGCATGGCTTGCTGCTGGAACCAGACCTGCTTCGGCGTGTTGCACTTGAAGCAGCTGTGCCGCGAGGCGAAGACGTTGGCGCTGCAGTTCGGGCACACCCAGTCGCCCGGCCGGTGCCCGTGGCCGCCGTTGTTGTCGTTGGGCATGCCCCCGCCACCGCCAAAGCCCATCCCCCCCATGGGCACCCCGCCCATGGGCATCCCCCCCATGGGCATCCCCCCCATGGGCATCCCCCCCATCCCTCCAAAGCCGCCGCCGCCGCCCATCCCGCCGCACATGCCGAAGCCGCACCCCATCCCGCCGCCGCAGAACCCGGCCGCACCCATGCCGCCACCGCCGCCCATGCCGCCACCGCCGCAGCTTCCCATCGCTGCGCCCGCTGCTGCGGCGGTGGCGGCGCCCGCACTGGCGGTGGTGGCGGCGGAGGGAGAGGAGACGGCGGCTGGTGGCGCACCCGCCGTCGCCGGCTCGAGCGGCCCCCAATCGTCGTCTGGCGCCGCCGCCGCCGCCGACTCGCTCTTGACGACGCCAGAGGCGGCGGCGCCCGCCTCGGGGACGAACGTCTCTGCGGCGTTCGCCGCCGGCTCGGCGGCCGCGTCCGCCTTTGCGTGCTTGACGTCCTCGTAGAGCGCGCGCAGCATCTCGCGCGCGTGCTTGTTTGGCACGACCTCGTCCACGCGCACGCCCGTGGTCGCGCAGAGCACGCAGCGCGTCCCTCCCGACGCGGGGTCCTCCACCAGCGCCTGCGTGAGCGCGCTGCCCGAGACGGAGGCGCCGCAGCAGGGCAGCACGACCTGCGGGGCGGCGTGGACGTGTCCAGGAGGTGTGATGCGGGTGCCGCGGAGGTGTGTGGTGGCGCAGGTGTGTGGTGGTGTGTGGTGGCGCAGGTGTGTGGTGGCGCATGCACCGGGTCCTCGAAGAGCCGCTTGGTGATCGGGCACTTGAGCTCTTCCGGCACGTGCTCCGCGTCTACCTTCTCGAGGCTCTTTGCCGTCACGCGCGAGAACTTCTTCTCGTCGGCAACCTGTTGCGGGGATGGCCGTTGCTCACCCATGATGGTCGCTATGGTCGCCATGGGCAGGGGCACCCTCTCTCCCCCTCCCTCCCTACTCCTCGGCCACCCGTCCGGCAGCCGTGAAGAGATCGCCCGCCGCCCCCCCCCCCCCTTCCCACAGCCCCGATCCCACTACACGCGTGCTGCCGTCGGCGAGCGCTCTCTCGCTGCCAGCCGCTGCCATGCAGCCGCCACTCACGCTACTCGCGCACCATGCGCACGAGACTGCCGTCGGCAGCCTGGAAGCCGCTTGCAGCGTCGCCGCCCTCGGTCGTCGCAGCCACCCGCCGCAGCATCACTAGCGGGGGGGTCCGGGGGAGGGGTGGGCAAGGTGTCATGGATCGCGGGGGTAAAACGCGGCGTGAAA